CGCCGTAAACATTCATTATTGTATTGGGCAAAAGAGTATTTTGTGTGCTTACAATGTGCTTAACATTCATCACCACTGTTATGATCGAAAAAAGGTGTTTTATAGTAAAATACACATGGTTTTTAATTTGAACAGTGTGCTTTCAATGAAAACGGTGTAAAACAGTGTACAAAGATGTTCTGTATAATATGAACAAGTTATATAGTCCGGTGTTTTATCTTGAAACATTACATGTGTCTTTGTTTTCTGAAGTGCTTCAAAATAAAACAGTTTCAAAGAAAAGTGTCTTAGTTACGTTCATGAACGTTTGTACCATGTCATATACATAAACACTTATACAACATGTCAAGTCGAGTGTTTTACCTTGGAACATTGCATGTGTGTTTGTTTTAGGAAGTGCTTCAAGATAAAACGATTTGTAAGAAAAGTGTTTCAGTACACTGATGAAATTGTGAACATGTCGTATACATAAACACTTATGAAACATGCATAGTCGAGTATTTTACCTTGAAACAATACATGTGTGTTTGTTTTAGGAAGTGCTTCATGATAAAACAATCTAACAATTTGGAAGAAAAGTGTTTTTTTTTTGTTTTACTCTCTTGTGTCTTATACATTAACACTTGGCGAAACATTTTTAGTCTGGTGTATCGGGTTGAAACATCGTTAATGATTTTGCTTTGAAAGTGTTTCAAATTGAACATATTTAAATCACATGTGAGAATGCTCAGACGTGATTCTGACTCGTTAGACCACGAGGTACTTAATTCACCATGTGTCTCAATTTCTAGTTGGTAAGACCATATAGGTTGTTGCTTGACATAAAATTATTTTCCGTTGGTAATGTCATCACTTACCTCATTATTAGAGTTTTACGTCACTTTCGGTGATTGTCAATTTTGTTAATACTCGCTGCATACGATTGGATTCATTAATCCATAAATGTTCTATCAATAAACACTTCAATAACACATTTGTATCCCCGTAAAACACTAGTGATTTCTTTTGAAAAAGTGTATTTTTGTGTGTTTACAACGTGCGTAATTTTCATCAAAAAGTGTTTTAATAACTTCCTAAAACACTTTTCTAAAATTACTAACTAAAACACTAGTGTTTTGATAGAAAATACAGGTGTTTTATTATATAATACACATGTTTTTAATTAAAACAGTGTGTTTTGAATTAAAACGGTGTGTTCTAATGAAAAACATGGAAGTGCTTTCAAGATTTACAGTGTATGTAGTATTGGTCCGATTGTGCTCAAATTTTGTTTTGTGAATTATATTCTTGAGATACATTCTTTCATCGGCTGGCCACGGCTAGGTCATGTGACTGGGCACCCATTGTCTCATTAATATGCATAACTTTATATGTAAGCATTGTTGCAGTTAGGCAGATGGAACCTGTGTTATTATGATGTTGTTAAACAAGAGATTTTACTGATATATCAGATGACCATATATGGCAATCGAGTGACTGTATCAATTATGAAATATGTCTGATATATCTTGGGCCCTGCTGACGCCACTTGTGGCTTTAAATTGTTATTATTTTAGAAAGGTTATCTTCGCTTAAAAAATCACTTATCTTTGTTTGTTGTAGGTTATTTATGTTGTTCGAAATCCAAAAGATGTCCTTGTATCTTTAAACCACCAAATAAATATTTCACCGTACCGGTCATCGTATGAATCATTTCAAGACATTTTGGACGACTTTATGAGTGGTCAGAGTAAGTCAACACACTGTTATGCCTTCCTGTATTGTACAATTTTATTCTCCACTAAATACATTAATTTTGATGAAAAATTTGCTCACTGTTGTACATATACACAAAGAACCAGGATGCATTTTTTTAAACACCTTTGCGTTCGTTATTCTTTAAATTTCACCAAATATAGCTTTGGTGATTAGGTGATATATGTGGTTATATGGTTATATTGCTTATCCATTGGTGCATTATTTAAAAGTCACAACTCAATTTATGTACAGTTTAATTTTTAATTATTACTATTATAAATAGCCATACAAGGTGAATGGCCTGCACATGTTACGCACTGGTGGATCAAAAAAGAAAAAGACAATGTGCTGTTTTTAAAATATGAAGATATGAAAAAGGTGATACCAAAAAAATATTATTTTTATTTAAAATGAATTACTAATATATGAACTCGCCATGCATTGATGTCTACACTATTCTTTTTTCGATATTCAAGTGATCCTCTACCATATATATAACTGTCGAAGTATGTTGAGTTTAATTAAACTCAACAGCATTGCAATTCAATAAAGAATTGCGTTTTAATTCAAGTTTAATTAAATAAACATTCAACCAAGTAGACAAAATAATAAACATTTTGTGACTTATCATAGAAATGTATAGGAAGCTTAGGGTTAGATATGGCACAGTTATATTATTATAATAATATAAAGTGTGCCAAACCACTCCCCTTTAATAACCTTGAGCTTAAATTCGATTGAATAATATTATAAATTATGAAAAATAGTGCGTCACGTCACTTGGTAGGCTAGTTAACATATACACACATACATACTCACAACCTTGCTTATGACATTTTAATAGTCATTACAGAATGAAGGTCTGTGATGCAACTTTTCATTTGCGTTGTGCATACTATATGTGTTTCATCGCAGGACTTGGAAGAAACAGTTCGGGCAGTATGCGCTTTCCTTGGAAAGACACTGACAAGCGAACTAATACAGCGCATATCTGACGAATGTACCTTTGAAGCGATGAAAAAGCGCAAAGTGAAAGACCATTTGTGTAAAATTTTTGGGATAGACCCTTCTTTATCGCCATTCATAAGAAAAGGTAATATAGTAAATTCAGATATTTATACCCCGATTATAACATGTCAATGCCCATATTAGGACATATTTGTTACATCACAGTTATAGATTATCTTACAATAAAATAATACATCATTGTGTTATGATTCTGAACAACAATGATAGTAAATTTGGCAATCGAAGATTATGCAACACTGCATGAGTTATGATGTTTAAAACATACAAATACAAGTTTATTTGCTTCTACGAATATGTCCTTTACATACGAAATGTCATATTTAAACATTTTTCCCACAAAAAAACATAATACTTTCTAAATGTGGACAGCAGAGTTGGGATTAAATTGGGCAATTAGTGAAAATCTTTAAGCATGTTGTTTTTTATTATTATTTTACATATGTTTAACTACCTGACAAGAATTGATTTTTTTTTCCATTTGTTGGTGCCAGATGTCACCTTTTTTCTTAATAATAAACCAGAAATTATGCACCTAGTCATTTTTTCAGCTATTTGCTTGATAACTATACATATCGTTCATATAATATGTAATATACTGAGCAAATGAATACTACAGTTGTTTGACAGGTTTTTCTAACGCAGATACAAATAAATATCGGACTTGTTTTATTCAATTTGATCAACGAATTACTTTTCATGTATAATATTTGTATAAAGACATTTATGTGATTTATAATGGTAATTTTATCTGTACAAATATATTGCCTACATTACTAATTCAATGTAAGAAACTGTAGACACATGTCTCTCATATTTCTTAAAATGATAGAAATAACAAGCCTATTATATTTTTTCCAGGTAAAGTGGGGGGTTGGAAAGATCATTTTACTGTTGCTCAGAATGAAGTATTTGATAAATGGTACCACGAGGCACTTGAAGGAACTGGACTGTCATTTGATTTTATTGAGTAGAGCGCATTGGATTTTTTATCAACACAAATGTCACATATGCGCAGCGCAACGACAATTGTCATTCAAATACTGTTGCAAGTACTAAGCTCAGATACTGCATTACATTTGAACATGGCTTTTGATACTTTATAGTAAGTTATTGCTGTGTCTCAAAATTACATTTAAAATTAAGAAATAAAATAACCACTTGAAATACTACACTGATGTCAAGTGTACCTGCGTTTATTATGGCTAACCAGGTGGTCGTGTAGATGGAAATGTTTTTTTCTTTTCAATCACCCGTTCTATATATTTTTTTTTTTTACCACAAATCAATTGAAATATCTCAGGTATGACACTTATTCGTTGGTTGAGATTTGACTTTGATGTGTAGAAGGCAAGAATGTTTCCTATATTAAGCAATCAAATGAGTAGTAACAGAATGAGTGAGCACTTTTAACATGAAATACAAAATCTACAAACAATATGGAAACTTTAATTGCAAGGACGGAAACATTTTCACGTTCACGGAAAACCCTGCTATAACACGGCTAGAATGGAATTAAATCTGCAATGAGCTGAAATTTTAGAACAGTTTCATTTGACGGACTAAATATTTCAACAGGTGGTTTGCAGTAATTCACGAGTGACACTCTACAAAATTATTATGCACTGTTGGTACCCGTTGCTCAATAGATCTTAGAGAATACAAACAATATTTTTGGTGCTGGCCAGTAGTACTTGATTGATTTGTATTCATACACTGGAGGCTGCCATTTTTATCTTCTGGTATTATCACACGAATTGCGAGAATAGTACTCGCGCACCTCGAGAGAATACATACTTATCGATAATGTAATCTTTCCGACCTTAGCATCGCCTATCAAATCGTCATGTACATTCCATGTAATTCCAGCTATGTTTGCCATAATTGGAATAAATAAAAGCAACCAAGCCAGTGACGCATATACATGGAGTGTTGATACAGAATACAGGGACAGAATTTAATTCACAGAGACTTCACCTTCAGCACTGGATTTTAATGAGTCTTTAAAATGTTTAGCAATACGCATTGTCATTTGCTGTATTAAATCAGCGCTCTTGTGGATACCATTTAAGGACTTCACTAAAAGAC